TATGAGGAAAGGCTGAGGGAGCTGGGTCTCTTTAGCTTGGAGAAAAGGAGACTGAGGGGTGACCTCATCGATGTTTACAAATATGTTAAGGGTGAGTGTCAGGAGGACAGAGCCAGGCTTTTTTCAGTGATGTCCAGTGATAGGACAAGGGGCAATGGGTGCAAACTGGAGCATAGGATGTTCCATGTGAATATCAGAAAAAACTTCTTTACTGTGAGAGTGACAGAGCCCTGGGACAGGCTGCCCAGAGAGGTTGTGGAGTCTCCTTCACTGGAGACATTAAAAACCCACCTGGACAAGTTCCTGTGTGATGTGCTCTGGGTGACCCTGCTCTGGCAGGGGGGTTGGACTAGATGATCTTTCGAGGTCCCTTCCAACCCCTAAGATTCTGTGATTCTGTGTGTCTAAAATTATTGATATACTCATAGATTGGTTTGTATTTAATTTGCTCCACAGGGACAAATAATAAAAAACATTGTGTCTTTATTTAGAACATTATGAGTTAATTTTTAAATAAGTGCCTGTGGATTTTTGTCTGCACAACACACATTATGTTCTATGGGAGTTCTGCAGCTACAAAGCCCCACTTAAAATTTGGACAGTATATACCAGAGTGTTTCTAAGCTACACTGCAGGTGAAATTAACCCAGACAGAGAAGCTAAAGTTTTAAAGTGGAAAAAATGTAAGATGATTTCACATGTAGAAAAAAGTGTTCTAAAACCTAAGATTCATAGAAAGAGAAGATTGAAACCTAGAAGAAAAGACATCTGTTGAGAAATGAATGTCATCTATGTGATTGACTGAATAGATCTCTTTTTCAGAGTAGTTCTGCCACTGGAATTAGGCTGAGCAAATGCTTAGCTCCTTAGAAAAGTAGTCAGATCACTTAAATTAAGTCGAATAAATATTGATGTAGAAGCCAGATTGCTCTGCACAAACAGGTTGAAAAATATGTAATTTTATTATATAATAATTTGTAAGTCCTAAATCACAAGATCATTATGGTTTGGCTTTACATCACCTCACCGAATCATAGGAGTTTTTTCATATTCCTGCCATTATACTTGAATTCCTTACCAGTTTCCTGTGTGCTTCTCCTTACATCCTAGAGAGCTACCTGGGATGAGAAGAATAATTGAGTTATCTACCTTCTTCCAGATTTCCAAGCTTTTGGTCTGAAGAAAGGAATGTTCTTCAATCCAGATCCTTACCTGAAGATTTCCATCCAGCCTGGAAAACATAGCATCTTCCCAGCCCTTCCTCATCATGGACAGGAGAAGAGATCTAAGATCATATGTAATACTGTTAACCCAGTCTGGCAAGGAGAGGTAAGCACTCTGAGTGTTGCCATGAGAATTCAGACTTTTCTTAAAACATGGAAATTGCTCTAGCAGTATCCTTTTTTTTTTTTTTTTTTTCCCCTTCCTGAATTTCTTTCTTGGCTAAATACTTTTTGACCTAACCATGCTTGATGTATTTAATGACTTCTTGTCTTAATGCAAAAGGCTTAATTAGCTACAAAGATGAATGACCCATTAAAACATGCAGTATGGCTTGTACTTTGTGAATTTAATTTATGAAGTTGTTAAATATTCAAGGCAGTTGTCATTCAGAATTGAAAAATAAACTTGGTCAGTGTGAAAGGCTGCTGCTATATTGTTATAGTTTTCTTACTTGGAGAGGAGACATAATATAAAGCAGAACAGGTTTAGCAGATACATAAAAAGAATCTCTGTGATTGAAAAGTGTCAGTGGCAACATAAATTAAAGGTAACTTTGGCATATTTGCCCATCACCTTGAAGAAATACTCTCCAGTCTGCTGCTGCTTGTTGGAAATTAATGAGATCTGTGAGTTCAATTGCTGCCTGCTGTTTCTAAATTACATGCAAAATGGCAACAGACAGCAAAGAATAAGGGATCCCTTTGGAATTAAAGGAGCCTGACATAATGGGTGTGATTTACTGGTGTTCCCTGTCAGACAAATGTCTCTGCTGCAGGAAAGAGTAAAATCGAGTAAATAGACTAAATAGATTTATTCACATGAAAATGCAAATCGTAAAGTAATTTAGGGATAATGAGGTCAAACTGTATAGATGTGAAAGTGGAAGTGTGGAAAAAAGACAGCAGAAATGTCACTGAATAGTCCTACATGGAGGAGGATGGTCAAGGAACTAGGTGCCACATCAGGTTATGTGGCAGGTGAGCCTATGTGGGGGAGGTTACATGGCAGGAGGGGATGACCTTGAATCTAGTCTGGGAAAAAAAGCCTTCTAACAGGACTTAATTAACTGGAATGCCCTGTCATCAGGAATCCACCAAGCCATAATTTCTCTATGGCTCCAAGCATTAGATGTATCTGAGGGGTCCCAGGTCAAGCTGAGGGACTGGATCTGACATGGAGGATCAGGGAGTTGGCAGAGATCTTTCAGTGAAGTGCATAAGACACAGGCCTAGAGGCAGGCAGGCATGAAGGGGAAACTTGCTGTATGTATAGCACACTCAGTATGTGATTGTGGGAGCTGGCAGCAAGTATGGATGCCAGGAGTTGACACTCCAGGGAGGACCCAGGATGTGGCTACAGTCCCACCATTCTGCATCAGCCAGAGTTAACTGCTGAGGTGACACACAAGCTATCCTTATCCAAAGAGGGATGTAGCAGCTGTGCTGATGAAGCCTGAAAGTAGAACCCAATACTGACCAGAAGTCTTCTCTTGGCAAAGACAACCCTCCAACAATGCAACTTGTCACTTCAAGGTCCTTTTGCACTGCTGTAAGAGGAAATAACCAAAGAGTAAGAACGTGGCCCTGATAAAATGTCAAGGATGTGTTCTCCTCAGGCCATGTGGGATGGCTGAGTTTCTGGGATGACATTTCTTTTCCAGTGAAGTTCAGCAGAAGGAAAAGGAGAAATAATGTAGTGGCTTAATTATGGACATCAGCAAGTGAAAGAGCACAGATGGCTTCCAGCTTCTCTGTTCAGCCTCCTGGTTTTCATGATTGTGTGGGTGCTGCTTCTCCCTTTCTGTTGTTAGTCTGTTAGTGGCTAAGAAGTCTAAAATAGCCAAGCTGTCATTCAACATGTTCTCATTCTGCATTCTCTTCAGCTGATGTTGAGATGCTTATGAATCCCTTCAGATCTATTATGTAGATGCAGTCTGTGCACATCAGCTGGTCTGATGTTTGCTTTGGTACTGAAAGTCCACATTGGTTTCAGTTGCACAGGGGACCTGATTTTCTTAAACTTTGTCCACTTGCAGGGCAAGGGGAGAAGGAAGATTGCAAACTGTTGCTGAATCCTGGTGATAGTCATTCTTCCATCCACCCTTTTCACTGATGGATATGAATATATGAAGTGAAAAATATTGAGGAATCATAGACATTTCATTAAATAGATCAGTCTGTTTTCAAAAAAAAAAATATTTTAGGCAATATATTATTTTAGAAGGGTGATTCTTTCCTCAGGTTCTCCATCACTACAAATAAACAGAAGGCAGATGTTTTGGGTGGGGGGTTTTTTTCAGATGAATGACATATCTCATTTGATTTGGCTGCTAAACTTGAAAAGATCTGGAATAGGGAAATAAAACTATAGAAATAGCTGCAGTCTAGCATCTTTATGTGTATTCTTGATTACTCTTGAACAAATTGAGAATTTAAAGCATTGGCTCAGTTTTGCAGGGCCTCAACACCAAAATAAAGTCCTACGGACTGAGAGATTATTCATTTAGTTATATTGGTTCAGCCTGGTATTCCTCTTGATATACTTACCAGGTATGAGTTCTATCTGCGGAGTAACCACTTGCCCACAGGAACACTCTGGGAGCACTGTGATACCTCAGGCAATTTTCCAACTCTGTCATGTAATATTGATGACAATTTCATAGACCATACTGTTTAGCAGGAGTTATCCTGACTTAAAACTATTCTTCCATTGCTCTCTTTTGCACTACTTGGTACAAGAAGACATTTGGAAAAGAAAATGTCTCACTGAGAAAGAAGAGTAGCATGTGATATTTTGACACTGCAGCAGGGCTCTGCATGAGGTGAAAGAGCCCTCACACTGAAAATTGTTAACTTAGACAGGTTAAAGCCCCGGTGATATCTTCTGCTGGTAGATGGGTCATTCTGTGATGTTCCTAAACGTTTTCACATGCTCACAGAAGCATAAGACTGGATTCTGCTAAGCCAAAGTGCTGAATATTGCCATGTGCAACAGTGACAAATGAGAAGTGCTTTGGGGGAGATCCAGATGAGCTACTGATGGTGCCCAGACCTCTACATGGTCAATGCGAATAGTAGACAGATGCAGAAAATAAAAACAAGTGTCTTCAGACAGGGAACTAGTTACTGAATCAGGATTAATGGTCCCAATTGTTTTCTTACTCCTGGCCCTCCTTTCAAACTGGTGCATTCTTCTGCAACATCTGTACTGTTAAGTGAAAGATGTGAGTTCCTGGAAACTGCATGCCACTGGACAGCTCGACTCTAAACTCCTAGGTTGAGCAGACATTGTGATGACCATTCACACAGTTGCAGGAGCATAGTGGGTAAGTTTTCCTACCGTGCTGATTTGAGGTAAAACAGAAAGCAAATCTCAGAAGGTAATGCCCACTTCACAGATCTTCTGTACATCTAACAGAATTGAGAAGGGTAAATGTCGATCACATCTCTTATAATATTGATATTAGAAAAATAATTATACTATTCCCATATTGTTTCATAGGGGGATCAATGTGTCTGCTGTCACATTCTATGGAAAAAGCTCCTTTAAGAAGATGTAATTTGCCAGGAAGCAGTGAAGTGATAGTTCAAACAAGCAATAGAGGATCATAAGCAACAAAGCAAAGTGGTTTAAAAAGTCATTGACATACCAGCTGGTTAGCAAATTCTTGTGATGGTTGATAAAGTACATCAGGCCTCTGGACTTTCCCTTAGACATATTTATGGTATTTCTTTCTTAACTGTGACAGTTTGAGCTAATTCTTCCTTCAGGTTTTGTTCATTTACAAGCAAGTGGAAAGAGACCCTCAAGGAATGTGCAGTGAGATGACTTTAAAAACTGGCTGTTGTGACCATCCAGCATATTTTAAGTAGTAGGAAGTGTCATCTGTTAAATGACACACTGAATTTCAGCTCTGATAATTCTGTCTCTGGATTCAGATTGCCTGAAGTGGGAGCTGAGGCACAAAATAGTGTTTCGAGTTGCTTTTTTATCACTCTGAAGATAGCTACATTTCATTGGTAAATTAATTAATGTATATAAACAGAGGTGTTTAGTGATCTATGGCAAGAGCACTTCACAAAAAGTAGTTAATATGTCAGATCAGATAAACAGAACTAAAAGTATTTTCACACATGTAACTTTCACTCTCTGCACCTCTGATAACCCACAACCTTTCAGAAATACTGCACTTGAATATATTCTCACATAACCTGTCTCTTCAGATTACTAACAGAAAATCAGAGGAAGAAAACAGGGGCTTGAATGCCAGCAGGAGGTGGTTTGGGGAGAGGGGGCTTCTGTGGTGGAGACTTGTCAGTGATAGAAACATTGGGTTTGGATGCTGCCTGCAGGAGTGCCAGAATTGACACAAATACAGCTGACTGACTGAATGCAGGTTTGCAACTGCTTTTCCTGTGATGCAAATTTATAACTGATTCTGTGGTCGTGAATGGTTGGACTGGTGTGTGATGGATCACTCAGCAGTACTGCAACTGAAAGATGTTTTGTCAGAGTAGCCAGATCATGCAATATGGGGTTTCAGTTAGCTCTGCTTCTCTGGAGGCTTCATGTTGGCTGATATGTTGAGTGCTAACTGATGTACACAAACCTAAAGTGATGCAAGCACAGGATACTTGATCAAAGATTAATCTTTCCAGAAAAAAATTAAACCATACTTTAATATAGCTGAATCAAATGTATGAATTTAAATCAAAGCAGATAATGTTTGACTGGATTTTTATCTAATATTCAGAGCACTAGATACTGGCAGCCCAAGCCTTTACAGGATCACTGTGTGGTTTCACCAGAAGTCCAAAATTAAAAATGCAACAGGAACATCATACTGATTGAACTACCTATTTAACGTAGATAACCCTTTCCCCCTTCTACTGGCAAGTACAAAAGAATCTACTGCAGAAACTTGGAGGCCTTTACACCTAAAGTGTAAATCCGGTAGAGGTGCATTAAAATCCAGGTCCTGGATTCAGTAGGAGTTTTGCCAAAGATGTCATTGGGACTGAGTAAAGCCTTGTGGGTGGTAGCTTCACTGTAGAACATTCCTGCACATGTGGCCAGGTAAAGTGTAAAATACAGTATGGCTACAT